AAAAAAGGGGAGGCCCACTTTTAACTACAACTGTAAACCGTAACAAAATCCCAAAACAAGGCCTTTGGAGCCCGAAAGGGCAAATTAGCAACAAAATCCCTGGAGGGGCCCTTAAATGATACTAATCATAATAAGATCCCTTGGCAGGGCCTCTGAGTCCAATCCACACCTAAAGGGCCGACAAAATCCAAGAAAAGGGCCTTTGAACGATCAATTAGTAGCGCCTAATATAAGATGGAAAATTAATTATAGCAATTTCTATTTTTCGAATGAAATTCCTTTCTTTTATTCAAACCATGGAGTGCCAAAGAGAACAACTGAGCACTCCAATAAGCCTCTTTTGTGATTAAAAGCCTATTGTTTCCTCATGTGGTTTTTTGTCTCCGGCATGAAGAAATATATCCGCACAAGACAACCTTTTCTATAGATGAGAATTAAATTTTATTTTTCTGCGTCCTAACCGCTTTCTTGATGCTTAAATACAAAACATTCACACTCGCTATGAATAATAATTTTTAGCGCAATCTATAGCTAATTAGATATGTATAAAAGAGTGGTGCGTACTGGGAATAACGATCAAAACAAATATGACTAATTGCAATATGCAATGGCATATTGCAACACCTATCGATCTCTACAGAGCCACTAGGGGCTTGTACCTGATCAATGCATTGGATCGAAAAATCGTCCAGGGTGTGTGGGGTTTTGTCAAAGTGTATCGCTACTTCACAAGTTGTTTTGTTTGTGAGTATAGCAGATTTGTGATCTCGAAATCTAACTTTAAAGTCGGTAGTAGTAGTAGATCCCACGTATTGCAGGCGACATTTCTTGAAAGAAGCCAAGTAAATCACATTATTAGAATCACAGGAAAGTCTAGAGTGAATGGTGTGATTTTTGCCCGTCTGAAAGCTGAGAAATGATTTAGATTCAACAAAGAAATTCTTACAGAGATCGCATCTTTTCCTATCGCATTTAAAGCAGCCATTGTTATGAGCCATTCTTCATAACAATTGCTTTGATCCCACATTTGTGGTATCGTCTAAGCCATGCCAGAGTGCTCAAACTAGGAAAGCCTAGTGAGCTATGCGCAATGCTAGCGGCAATGACTCACCCCACAGTGCTCAATTTGGACATGAAATATATATATTATGATTAGTTCCCCTTTCTCGACGAACCCTTTGCGCAAGTCAAAAGAAATCGGCCAGCAGTGATGGATCCAGCAATTTTTGATAGAGTAGGAGCTCCGAACAAAACACAGATCAAACTTAAATGAGCTAGTAAATACTTCACGATAGGTAAATCATAAATTCGTCACGTTGGGTAGTACTATACGATCGTGGTCGTTGAAAATTTTGGTTTCAGACAAGGAGTGAAAATACCCACAGGTCTGATAGGGGTTG